TCATGCTGTTTGGATTAAAATTGCTGTGATTACGAGTGCTATGTGACTTACAGATGAGTAGGCGATTAGTGGCTTTAGGTCAGTTTGGCATAAACAGATAGAACTTGTTATAATCATGCCTCATAGAGAAAGTATTAGAAATGGATAGGCTATAAAAGTTATTTGCTCAAGTATAATAGTAATGTGTAATATTCTATATCCTCCAAGCTTCAGTGGGACTGCTACAAGTACTATGGATCCCGTGATAGGAGCTTCGACACGGGCTTTAGGCAATCAAAGGTGTAGGCCATACAATGGCATTTTTACTATCAAAGCCATTATACATGCTAGTCAGACCAGTATATTGGATCGAGAGTTGTTTTTAGGTTTTGCTCAGTATTGTAGTATTAGTAGATTGAGAGTTCCTATTATATTTTGAGTGTATGTTAGAATTACTAGGAGAGGAAGTGAGCCTACTATTGCATAAAAGAGAAAGTAAAATCCTGCATTTAAACACTCTGATTTCCTCAGCGTGTAATAATAATAAGGGTTGGTACAAGTGCTGCTTCAAATAAAATATAGAATATAATAAATTCAGAGGAGGTAAATGTTATGATCAGTAGTATCTAAAGTGTAATTAGTATGGTGATCTATAATTTTTATCAGGTCAAATTTTCATTAGATAGATGGGCTTGGCTAGCTATTAATATTAGTGGTAAAGTCATGTTGTTAGTGTTAGTAGAGGTGCTGATAAGGAATCAGAGGAAAAAGTGAAAATGTAGGCTATTGCTTTCATACTGATTTACAGTAGACAAGGGTGCAAGGTTAATTAGTATGCTGTGAGACGTGACATTAATTCACATCATATTCCTGCTTGATAATCATGTTATCAAGTATAACAGAAATAGTATAACTGGGGATAATTAATTTTAACATTGGAGAAGATTTAAGTTTCATACATAGTCTGTACTGTATGTGTGGGATACTAATACTAATAAGGACAGACCTAGGGCAGTTTCACGCCTATTGTAACAGTGAGTACAATAAAGATAGAATCATGCCTTCTAGACATAGTAGTGAGGATATGAGGTGCAATCCATACATCAGTATCCTTATAAGAGAGATAATGAATGCCAATATAACATTAATATATACTAAAGACATTTAATAGCTATGGGCAGATCATCATCTAATGAGTCGAAATGATTTATTTTAGTTAAACTAGCTATCATATTCAGTTCATCCTAGGCTTTTTTGTGTTCATTCACAAACTAAACTGAGAGCTAATAGCAAATTAAGTAATAAGGCTATTGTAAGTATCTTGTCTAGGTAGTTTGTCTGTGATGCTCACGGGAGTGGAAGAAGTAGTGCAATTTCTAGGTCAAATAGTAGAAACGTAGTTGCAATTAAGAAAAATTTTATAGAAAAAGGCAGGCATCCTAACCCTGTAGGGTCAAATCCACACTCATAAGGGGTCACTTTTTCTGAATATGTATTTAGTTGTGGAAGTCAAAGAGAATTAATGTAAGTAAAGATGCTAATAAATAGTTGTTACTGCTAGTAATAGGTTTATTATTTTCTTCTGGATTTTACCAGAGACTGTTGATTGGAAGTCAACTCTACTGCATGTACTAAGAAAATAAGAACCTCATCAATAAATAGAGACATATAGGAATAATCATACTACGTCTACGAAGTGTCAATATCAGGCAGCATCTTCAAAACCAAAATGGTGATTAGATGTGTTATGGAAAAACCTGGAAAAAACCTGGACTGGATCACTGATGAAAGAACCAAGTGGCACTCGGAGGTCTTGGAGTGTTGAGGTTTTATTTTACACTGGTGGGCTCAGAGTGGAGTAACTTCCCAAGGTCTGAGCTCTGAACAGAGGCAAGGGGAGCAATATATATCTTTCTGCTTCTGTATCTGCAACATTTTTATGCGCACAGCAAGCAAGCAAGCAAGGGGGAGTGAACTTAGGGAGTGAGTGCCTGGCAGAGCGGAGAGTGAAGGGAGGGGGAAGACGGGAGTTTCTGTTGTCTTTGTTAAGAAGAGCAGCAGAAGGGAGCCACCTGAACTAGACTGCTGACCTTGTAAGTTTTTCCCTATCAGATTAAGTGATATTTCAGTTGCTGTGGAAAGCATACAATTAGAAAGGAGGATCTGATACTAACGTGCAAACCGTGGAATCTGGTTGCTACAAAAAAAGTAGAGCCATACACTCCGCCAGAGATTGTGAAGGGTGCCTCATAATTTGGGTATTTGTAGAAGTATGAAGTAGATGTCTAGGAGAATCGTGATAGACAGAGCTTGGAGTATATGATTTTGGTTGCCTTCTATTAGGCTGTGATGTGCCCAAGTAATCGTAACTCCAGAAGCTAGTAGAACAGATGTATTAAGTAGAGGAACTTCTAGGGGTTAAGGGAGTTAATGCCCGTGGGAGGTCAGCATCCTCCTAGCTCAGTAGTGGGGGCTAGACTTGAGTGGTAAAGTGCTCAGAAAAAGCCAATAAAGAAAAATGCTTCAGAGATGATAAATACTATAAAATATTGAAGCCCCTTTTGGACTGTTGGTGTGTGATGGCCCTGAAAGGTGCTTTCTCACACGATATCACATCATCACTGGTATATTGTTAAAAAAAAATTTATCAGTCCTAAAGATAGTAGATTTGAGGAATTAAAATGAAACCATATTGAAAGTCTGGATATTATTAAAAGAGCAGATAGTGCTAGTTAAGGGTCAGGGCCTTGGATTCACTATGTGGTAGGAGTGAGTTTGCTGGGTCATTATGTGTTGTCATGTAGGTAGAGGCTAATAGAGTGAATACATATACTTAAAAAAGTGTTACTGCAAATTCAAGAATTGTAAGATTAAAATAATAAAAGTGGTTGTTGCCACAGTGAAGCTGATATTAAAGCTAAGGTTTTGTGCTTCCAATTAAGTGTATTAATAAGTGACCTGGAGTAATGTTAGCTGTGCAGACAGCATTGTTGTGCAGAAAGCAACTTGCCCTGCCTCTTCCCCTGAGGCTGGGAAGAAGACCTCTTCACAGTATCCTTCTGTCTGGGAGTATAAGTATATATAAGAAGCTCACCTTGCCACAGCAATGTTTAGCTGTCAAACTGGATATGTCTGAGAAGCAAATCACTGGGACTGAGACAGCCTCAGAGCCTTCTCTGCAGGACCGCAGCTCTGAGGCTTAGTGTCCAGCCCCTGCCCGGCTGTGGAGAAGCTTGCACACACCTTTTGCTGACATGTCATTTGGGGCCCCCCAACCAATGTGCACCTAGTTCCCAGAGTTCAGCTTGTGGTACGGGGGACCTGCTTATAATGAACAGTTTACTCTGGGCCTCTCTCAAGCAGCCAGGCAAGAGAAAGAAAAAAAAAGACCCCTTTGAAGCCAGTTTACTCATTGCATGGAAGCAGTTCTCAGTCAGCCAGGCTGCCTCAACAGGCCTCAGGCTAAGTGTCCACACATGTGAGCGTCTGCCGTGAATGAAGAGAGCTGTACAGGGCAGACTTCATTCAGGCCGTTTTACTGTGGCACAAACAACATGCAACTACAATGTGAACTGTACAGCCTCCTTAGGACATACAGAACCTACCTGGTGGTAATAAATACTGATTTTTCAAGCAGTATCAAAGAAAATAGGTCCAGTGAAATGGTGTCAGAAAATACCTGGTCACTTTCCCAGAGAATATTTTACTAGTTATGACTGTGATATGATCAGAATAACACAAATGGCTTGCACTATTCTCTCTGTCCCATTCTTTAAAGCAGTCTTTTTAAGAAGAAAGCCAAGGGGATGAAGTATTGGGTGTAAGTGAAGAGGTCTGAGGCCGTGGACAGTAGCAGCAGACTCCAAACTCCTCAAAACAAACACAGATGTATTCCCACCAGGCCTGTCCATCAAGCACCATTGAGGACTTCCAATGGGTTTTTTTTTGACAATTGGATATATGGGTGAATATGTGAGCACTTTAAAGAAAAAAATAGCTAGAAACCAGCTTCTTCTAGAAACTCAGATGATTTTTCCTTCTCCTTCCATCCAGTACATTAAAAAGTATCTATTACTACCCTTCCTCTTTAACTGAGAATCTCTGTGTTCCCTGTCCCGCCTTCTGCACCTTGTTTCTATTCCTTCCTCTTCTCTCTTCCAAGATAATTCCTCTGCCTGTGCTTTTAATCACTTATCTTCTTGTCTTCTCTAAGCCCCTTGTTCCAACAGGACCATCTTGTTCCTTCTTCTACCCCTCCTTTCCAAGGTGTCCTTATCTGGCTGCAGACTCTGGCTCCCCCACTATTAAAGTATTCCCATGACACCATTTCCACTGAGTGTAATCAAAATAACAGGATGCTCTTGAAGAGTAAAGGATGACACAGTAATAGTGTTTGACCAGAGACTCAAGAATCCTTGCATCCAGCCAGCTCTCTTCAAGGGGCCCAGAAGAGATACATGCAAAATGAACACAGCAAGGTAATATTTTACCACCAGCTGGAAATTCAGCCCAAAAATACCAACATAGAACTAAAATGAACCAAGCCCAGCTACATAAAGGACTCTCCCAATATCAGAGAGGCCTCCATATTCTCTGTTCAAAGGAGGTCAAAGGCCACTCTGTTACATGTACCCTGAAGTCCAAGAGCGGTCTTATCAATCTACCAAAGCTAAAGGAAAGAGGGACAAGAGAAATAGCAAAATTAAATCCAAGCTTAGTAGTTCAACACCCTCTACATTCAGAGCCTCACCTCACCTCCATCCCTATCAGTCACCACTTTCTTCTCTGGTAGAGCAGAGCCAGGTTTGTGGGTGATCTTTGAACACTGAGCCTTGACTTCTGCAACCATGCCATTGTGTATGCACTCCCTGTAAAGGAACCATCCTCCAGCCTAACCCCCTTTACAGCCTAACGTCTTCTCCCAGAACCCCACAACCGAAGTGTGTCACTTTATGAATATCTGTAGCAAAAACTCTCAACACCTTATATATTTTAATTACCCTCCATTAAAGTGCAAACTCTTTTTGAGAGAAAGAACTTTATTCGTTATTGTGCCTAGCACACTATCTTAGGGAGGGTAAAGTGACCAATACACATTTATCAAAGAAAAGAATGATGATATAAAACACTTGAGTTTCATGGAATACCAGCTCTACAATTTTTAGAATTAAGAAACAGAAACTGGCAGATATCCCACCAGTACAAGCCAGTACACTCACCTCTGGTTGTAAAATATCGAAATACTTCCCTAGCGCTGCTCCTTGCCACCTGAAGGCCTCCCAGTACTATTGCTGGCCTAGCCTCTCCTCCCCTGGGCGCACCTGACTCCCACAACCTCCCAAATAAATGGTCAGTGCTTTCCACAGCAGTGAGCCTCAGGACCCCACTCCAGCCATGTGGCCAGGGCCCACTGCAGGAAGTGTCCATTCTCACTGACCAAGACCTGTGCGGGGTCACTGTTAAATATTTTGATAATCATCCATGAGTATGAATAAAGTTTAATTCTACAATTCAAAAATAGTGCTACTCCTTATTGCAAAACCTCTTAGAAGAGTCAGCAGATCCAGGAGTAAAAGGGGAAAATGATACTCTGCCAGTCCCTGAAGGTTTAGGAAACATCCATTAGCACTCAGTCTTCATGTAAACCAGAAGATATGCAGTTTCCCGCCTAGAAAGAAAAATGCAACAGTATAACAGAAATGAAACACTCACAATTAACTGATACAGTATTAGTTGAAGACAGGACAAGCATCAGCAGACTTTCCAGGTCATTGGGTCAACTCTTCATCTAACTATCACCTCAGGGGAACAAAAAGAGTGACGAGGGGAATAGCCACTAAGCAGCTGCTCAGTAACATCTGGGTCAGGGGCTGACAGACGATGCGCCCAAGAGCCAGATCCACACCTGCTTCCACAGGGAAAGTGAACTGGAGCACAGCCACATGCACTCACTCATGTACTGTCTGTGGCTGCTTTTGTCCTACGAGGGAAGTGCTGAGCAGCCACAACAGAGCCTGTGTGGCCCACATTTAGGCCCAGCCTAACACAGTTACTCTCTGGCCCTTTATAGGGAACATTTTCCAAAGTCTGATCTAAACTATGGGGGATCACTAACAGCCAGAAATGACACCAAGTGGACATCTCAAGCAGATGCTTAGAACAGAGAGAGAAGGACAAACAGTGGAAGGTCAGAGGAGGATTTCAAACTCAAATTTCACTGAATTCACTCTTTTTCAAATAGGCCGACTTCTGCAGCTGAAATCATCTCTAACATCACCTTTGTTATACATTGTCACCCCAATCCAGAAACTCAGGTGGAAAAACTTACAAAGTCTCTCTGCTTTAACTTTTCCAGCTTCCCCTCTGTAGTTACTGACTTTTAAAAATACATGTATTGCTATTTCCTAAACGCAAGCCAGTGTGCCAAAGGAAGGAAGGGAGTGATCCTTGCCCCCGAAGAGTTCATGGTCTAATGTGGAAAAAAAGTCATGTAAGCAATTACAAAGCAGTGTGAACCTTGCTGTAAAGGAGATATGCTCAAAATGCAGTGAAAACTTTCACAGCCTCCACAAATCTGCCTGGATGAACCAGTGAAGGCTTTGCAGAGCAATAAAAGGCCATGAGCAGGGGTCCTGAAGCACAAGAGGGAGTTTGCCCTCACAATGACCTAGGATAGAGCACTACAGGCCAGGAACTACAGGTGCACAGCCACGGCAGGACGACCGAAGAGGTGAGGTTGGGGGAGCCACTTACACGTTAGTACTGCTGGAGTCTAAACTGCGAGAAAAGCATGCACAGCAGGATGGGTACTGAAAGATGAGGCTGAGCAATTAACCAGTGGGGAGTCATCCCAGTGTAAGAGGCAGCTGAGTACACAAGACTCTCCTAAAGGAACAAGAACACTAGGCGAGCAGACTGGGTCCCCATCATGCAAGTACTTCTCTTACCAGCGGTAGTTATTATTTCCATAGGTACATTGGATGTCTTCCCAGGATACCTAGAAGTACACAAACAGATGAAGTGAAACATTCAGAGAGTGCAGGGTGCTAAAACTGGCCCTCCCCAACTCATTCAGACAAACCCACCCCCAGCACCTGATAGGATGCTGTGTATATGACATCTCTTTTAGTGTCCTTGTCCCTCTGGTTAAACTTGGTTATGCTTAGTGCAGAGTTCTAACTTCCACATTTCTAACTCTTCTTGCTTCCTTAAGTTTCCCACAGAACACTGGAGTTCAGAACACTAAAAGCCTAGGCACTGAGCTCAGTGGACTCTTAGCTGTAAACCAGATGGGTACTTCATGAAGAAAAAGGTTTTCAACATATAAAAGCCTCCCACAGAGAACAGGACCACAGTGTGTCTTGGCCCATCTTGTCCTGAGCTCAGAGTTTTATTTGAGTGTCTAATTCAGGGAAGAGGCGATTTTGGATGATGTTCCTCACCCAACAAACATTGGAGTCATTGAAGCAGAACCACTTTCCATCCACAGAATTCTGGATATAGGCACAGTAATGACCAAAGTCAGCTATCCCCACATGGGCAATCACAGCAAACAGTTCATACTGTCCTCCAAGCTGGAATGACACAAGGCACAAATGAGTCACCCATCACCCCTCATCGTTTCACCACACATTCACTCAGTGCCTACTCTGAGTGGGCACTGAGCACTTCAAGGAAATTAGAAAATGGTCCCTGACCTCAAGATTCTCACAGCTAACTAAACCAGAATTATCAGGCTATGTTTTAACCAGATATATTTACAGGTAAATTTAGGAAGACCCAACGTTTGCTCCAGAAAGGAGGGAACAACCAACTGAGGAAAGGTTGAGGGGCTGAGGAAGCTCCCCAGGATGATGTGCTTGGACTGATCTTCAAGGATGAACAAGACTGGCAGACAAGTTATGGGAAGAGGCAATAATGAATGTGGACCCCGAGACTGCAAAGGCTTGGCAGCACCACAGAGCAAAACACACCAAGGAAATGGAACTCAGGAAGGGTGCAGGGACGTCATAGGAGTACAGGCCACAGAGGTCAAGGCAAAAATCAGAACTTTATCCTGGGAGTGATTGGGAGCCATCGGAAGGTCTTAAGCAGAGAAACATCATCACCAGATTTGTGTTTGAGAAACACACGGAAATAATGTGGTTAGAAAAATGGATTGAGAGTTCAAGTGAGACAGAAGCCAAGGAGATAAATTAGGGCACCACAGTGGTGCACGGAAGAAATGGTGACAGCCTGAATAATTACTAACAGTAGCAGTCACTAAAATGGTCATCATTGTTAACATAATTATTATTGTTTTATCATAACTTTTAGCATTCACTATGCATTTAGCTGAGTCTTTACATGAATAATTTCGTTTAATACTCACTACAGTCATATAAACTGAGTGTTAGTATAAATCCTATTTTACAGAGGTGGGATCTAAGCTCCGGGAGGTAAAGTGATTCACCCACGGATCAGGGCTTACAAAGAGAAGAGTGGGGCTTTCAACCCGGGCCTGACTGGCTTGGAAGCCCAAGCTGTGACCTGTGGTGAAGAAGTGAGAGTGAGGGCACAGAGGAAGAACAGATTTGTGCAAAACTGGAAAGTAAAGAAAGGTACTTTGTACATGATTGGGTGTGGGGTGGGGGATAAGTAGGAGGCACTGTAAGGATCAGTCCAGATTTCTGGCTTCAAAATTGGGGAAATATTGATTGGTATTATAAAGTTAAATATGGAGTAAAATTGTTTGGGAATGAAGACAATGGATTTAGGGACTGTGTGAATATAGTCATTTGGAACTCAAGAGTAAGACATGGACAGGAGATACAGATTTGCAAGTCTTAAGTTTGAAATAATCATTGAAACCATGAGAATTAAGTAGATGACATTCAAAAAATGGGGAGAAGGACTGGAATCAAATTAAATATCAATAAAAGGATGGGCAGGAAAGGATCCAGCAATGGAGAAAGAAACCCTAGGAGGGAACCCTAGAGTAGACAGATTTGGAAGGAGAATGAGATCAATAACACAGAATATCACAAAGCAATCAAGCAAGGGAAAGACCAAAAGCACCTATTTACTGGGCGGCAGTCGTTCTGCACCCACACATCTTAGAAAGTCAAGAGAAGAGGTAATTCTCTGCAAAAAAAGAAAGAGTGGCAGGAGAGACAGAGCTCTGACTGACTGCGAGCAGGACCTTCACATTAGTCAGGAATGCTTTATTTTTTCTCAACGCAGCCAAATAATGTCATTTACCTGAGACTTTGAAATAGGACTAGTGAAGGGGGACAGAGGTGAGGGTAGTGCAAGTCACCTAAAAGGGAGGGCCCAACTTTTCTGTTTTCATTTGGGGACTTTATACTGGATTTTTTAAATGCAGAGCAATATCAAAATCTATCAGTTTACAAGAAATACAAGGGATATAAGAAAATGATAAATAACAACACCCAGACAAATCTGGATACATATTTTTTAAAACCCTTCAAACAAATAAATTGCAAGGTAAAGAAAAGGAGGGGAAACAAGATGCTTAACCTAAAAGAAGAAAGAAATGTAGAGATGGAGGGAGGGGGTATGGGGAGGGGACGGGAAAATGGAGGAGGAACAGACTGACGCTGATGAAGTGTGTGCCTTGTTTGGATCCGGATTCAAACAAAACAGATGACTCAGAGGACAGTCAGGGAAATCTGCATACTGACTGGACATTAGATAATATTAAGAAAGTAAGAGATGGAATTGGTTTTATTTATAAAAGAGTGCTTATTGTTTAGAGACATAATGAAGTACTTCAGATGAAATGGTACGTTTCTGGGATTAGCTTTAAAATAATCCAGTAGAGGGTGGGAGAAAGAGTATGGGGATGTAGGTAAAGCAGCACTGGCTATGAGTTTTAATAACTGCTTACACTGCTTACACTGCTTCATCGGCAATTCCTCACTAGTTTGGTATATACCCAAGATTTTCCATAACAAAGTCTTCTTAAGTGGAAAAAAATTTCATATATACTTCATACTGTGCAGGTACAAATAAGGAAGACTAGGGGGGAGTCCACGAGAACCCCATGCAGTGAACGCACCCTGAAGGGGTAAAGAACCAGGCTACAACAGGAGCTATTATAACATATCAGCAGGTCTTGGTCTTTAAAGTACCATAGTTCCAGAGCACAAATAGTGAACAGACCAGAGAAATAAAAGAGACAGTACAAAAATGAACATATATGTATATACATATGAATACAGAATTTGCTAAATGCAGCATTTCAAATCTACAGAGAAAGGATACTTACGTCATTTTTCTCCTCGGAATCCCAGTATGTTATCAGCTCAGGACAACTGAATTCAACTTTACTCTGATTAAATCTGGGCCAATGAACTCGCTACTTTCTTATTATCCTCAAAGTGGGCATAAGTGGTTTTAAGAAAGTTACCTTGGCACTGTATTTAGAACCCAATGTGTTGTGTTTACCTATGTGTATGCAAGTATTGCACATATTATGTAAAAGGAAGGTCCTGAATTATGGGTTCCTTCCCTCAGTGTTATGGTATATGAGTACAACACCAATATTTAGAAATTATGTCTTTTGGATGTCAAAAAAAAGCATCTAGAAAGAGCAAGTGGTGGGGTGGCAGTGTGGGGGAACAACCACGAGTGTCATTTGAGGACACACAGGTTTCCATAATTAAAATACTGTTTTTAAATTAAGCATTTCTTGAAAATATGAATGTTTCTATGAATTACCCTAGGCTCCTGGTGAGCTATCTTCCCTTTGTGTATCCTGAGAATAGCCGGCAGAAGACATGATTTCTGAGATTAGAGAATGCCACAGATGAGACACCCAAAAATGCCCTCTCTGCTGAGTGGGTGGCTTCAAGCAGCTTAAGAGAAGGGGAAGCAAAATGGGTGGATGTGGTGTCTGAGTCTGAACAGAGGATGGAAGGGAGGTGAGGGGGCGCCTCACCTGTCCCTCAGCACTGAAGACGCCATGTTCAGTCAGAAGGACCTGGTTCAAATCCAAGCTCTGGGGAAAGCAGAGTGAGTGGCAGATTTTTTCTGTCTGCAAATTCCTGGTAGCGAACCTCATGAGGTGGATGGTCAAGGTCTGGGGCAAATGGGTGAGCTTTAAGACCTGAAGAAGCAAATCACTGTGGGGATGAAACTCGAAGGCACTGAAAGGCGCGGATCAGAGAAATACCAGGGCTGATGTATGTTCTTCCCCAAGAGAGGAACTGGACTGAGAGGACAGAGCCCAGGGCCCACATGTGCCGGCTCCACTGAGTTCTCCTGAAGCTCTGGGGCAAGCACACAGTCTGCTCTAGGGTGCTCTCTGGCCTCAAGGGAATGACTACCTGCAGCTCTTGGACCTTCTCCTGTCCTCAAAAGTTCTCAGTCATCTGAGGAACACATCCAAGCTCTATAAATCTGAAGCCGCAGGACCCCAGGGACTAGCCTGACTCGGATCTCCTCCCTCAACCCTCTCGAGGGCTCTGTGAGGACTGCTGGGATTCTCTGGGGCCACCCCAGACAGGGAAGCTCCCAGTGTCAGGGGTAGTACCTGCTTCCTGCAAGTCTTCCTCCCACACCTCTCACAGAAGCACCTGCTGTTGCTCAGTAGTTCCCGGGGCTGGAAGAAGCAGCGGAGGGCATCCTCCTGTCTCAGGAGAAGGACAAGGCAGAGTCAGCCTTTCCCATCTAGAGGGCACCCCCACCCTGCAGTGGAGGCCAGCTTCCTTTCTGGCACTCTCCCCTGCCCCTCAACTTCTGATCCAGTGCACTGCACATGGCAAGGCTACAAGAAGCACCTACTGACTGGAAGGAAAGACAAAGGGACATTTTTTTCACCAAATCAAAGAACTTAAAGCCATGCAAAGGAAATAGAAATGTTTTTTTTAAAGCCAAGGGTGGATTGAAGAAGCAAAGGAGCACTGGCAAAATAGGGTTGTGTGGAACAGCAAATTCACCATTAGAAACTCCTTACCAGTGTTTTCAGGGGCTTTGAGTCCAAATCAAAAACAGGAAGGGGAAGGGTCAGCATGCTAGTGTTTCTGCTGCTCTCCTCAGTACATTCAAGGCAAAGCAAGGACTCTGTCATCCGGATTGTGTACAGGGCCTGCAGCCTCTCTGCCTGCAAGAGACAGAAGAGGCAGGAAGGAAGGGCACAAAGCCATAAACTCTCCAGTCAGGCCAATTCCCAGAGCCACCACCCAGAATTTCCAGAAATGGCAGACACTGTGCTCTTGGCTCTACTCAAAAAGGTGTAAAATACTAACAGTACTAATATTATGAAATTGCGGTAAGCATTTTATGTGCATTTTCTCTTTTAATACTATCTACATATCACACTAACTACGGCTGACAAATTATATGAGCAGCACCTTGACCCTCTGAGTTCTCCAGTTCAGGCCTTACCAAGTCCCCATCAGGGATCTGATCCTTGATTAGGTTCCAGACTATGAGGTAGAGTTGAGCAGCATCATACTGGATGAACACTGGCCAAAGAGAGAGAAACAGCCCAATTAGCGAGGTCACCAGGAATACTCCTTAGTCCTTGTGCCCTAGTTAGCACATGCACACGAGTTCTCGTCATGCTGTCTTTCCTAGACTTCCCCGCTTTTCAGGTTATGTTTTCCACAAGATGTTAGGTGTTAAAAATGAAAAATAAACTTGCTATTGATTTTTGAGAACTCCCCCTAAAACTTAGAATCCAGTCCACTGAGTCACACAAGTTTGCTGTCCTCTGGCTTGGCTCCCAGCCCTACTGGCCTCCCCTGGGGACCCAGTCAACTAAAATGAACTGTTAAGAGCTGATTCTTTCCTATGTCTGTGCCAAGCTAGTAGTCTGACTGGACCTAAGGCCACCTTCTCTGTGCCTTTCTGTATTTTCTTTACCTAGGAGAACAAGAAGGGAAAGGATCACATCTCAGTGGCAGAGGGTGCTGGCTAAGAAGAGCCAGGAATAAAGCAAAGAATTCTACAGATATAAGTAAATGCAAGGCTAGAAATGTGGTGTACAGATATAAATGAAATTGTGTTATTCAAAGGAAATGTCAGAAGATAAAATGAAAACCACGAGAGATATTTTACAAAAGAGACATCACAAGAAAAGGAGGTAATTGTAATTGTACTAAATATTCATATCTGCTATCTCCACACCATTTTATTTCCATCATGACACTTACCATAATTTGTATTTCATGTTTTTGGTGTTTAATTTGTTTTGTTTTGTTTTGGTTTAGTTTTGTTCTGTCCTGTCTCTCCTCCACAATGCAGTAAGCTCCATGGAGACAAAGATTCTATCAGTCTTACTCCTGTATCTACAGCACCAGCACAATACCTGGCACATAACAGGTGAGCATTATGCACTAGTTGAAGGGATATTCTAAGGAAATAACCCTAAAACTTAAACAGGACAGTAGCAGGGTTGAACTGATGCTATCTCCAAGGCTTTATTTCCAGAAGGCCGTCTGCCACAGAGCCGACCCTGGACACGGAGGAGGCTGGCCCACCTTGCATGGAAAGGCAGTGTGCCTCATCTGACCATGCCGGAGCCAAGAGTCCTGGTTCATCTGAAAAACACAGGGATACTTGCCCAACACATGATTTACCGACACCCACCATGTGCAAGGTGTTGCACATGCCAGTGAAGTTACTGCCCCAAGAAACCTATATTCTAGTGGCAGACAAGTGTCCATGCAATCATAATTCAAAGAAGAGTAAGAACAATTCTCTAAGGTGTACAAACTGCTATGAAAAGCTGAAGGAAGGTGAGAATACAACTGGGATGGTAAAGTCTCTATAATAATCTACTCCTCCATAAAAGTGATGAAAATCATGGCAAAATTGTCAAAACTAATTTTTTTCAGAACTCCAGAAATTAACCAAAAATTTACAAAAGTCTTAGGAATGTTTAATCCAGAAAAACTAAAACCTAATTAAGTGCAGAGTTGGAGACTTTTTCCACTTGGCCTAGTCCCACTTCCTTCTCCCAGCTCTATGATAACCCTGAAGACCAGAAACCCTGCAATCACCAGAGGTGGCAGATGAGGACCGGAATGCCTCACAGGGTCCCTCCTTACAGGGTCCCGCCCCACAGGGTCCCACCCAACAGGGTCCCGCCCCACAGGGTCCCGCCTTACAGGGTCCAACCCCACAGGGTCTGCCTTACAGGGTCCCGCCCCACAGGGTCCTATCCCAAGGACACTTTCATTGGTTTCCTGCAGCTCTGTGGAAAAGCCTCATTTGAAGGAGGTTGTCATTATTTGACCAGACTCAGAGCTTAAAGCCTGACCCTCAGGGCATTTGTGGAAAACAATCAATGATGATTAATACTGCAGTTACCTAAGGCTGCAATACAAGTTGGGGCAAAAAAAAAGAGCCTCTCAAAACTTAAAAGAAGGATCTGGGGAATAAGATGTCCACAGAGGACTTTTAAAAGCTCTCACACATTCCTGGTGACCTGAGGGGGCCCCAATCTCTCACATCTGGCTAACTCTGAGTCCCTGTGCAAGCAAGAAATGAAGGCTAAAAGTGTCATATACTGCCTGCATTTGAAAATGTGCCCCAAAAGACACACAGGGCCCCTCAGGAAAGAACAGAAGACATATTGTTCAAGACTGTAAGGCTGGAGGCACTGGAGGGAGGAAAGCAAGGACAATGCAAATGGAACAAAGCACCAAATAGCTCTGTGCCATATAAAGAAGGAACAGACAGCTCTTCCGGGATTCCAGTCCCATGACCTGCTGACAAACCCCGGATGCAGCCCCCTCCATCCAGAAGGAGGAGACCTCTGGCTGTCTATCACCCGACCCTGAGCCAATAAAAATTCCCCACATACCCCTGGCATAGCCCACTGCCCCCTCCCCTCCCTGTGCTTATAAAAACTCCTGCCTAGTGGTTAGGGGCAACTTCTCCAGCCTGTGTTTCAGACTGGTGAACCTCGCCTGGGATTGCACTCAAATAAGCTGCCTGGCCCTTTGTTGCCTCTTGTCACCTGCTTATTTCAGTTAGAATTTATCTTACATTTGGTGCCGAAAAATCCCAGGAAGGTACGTGAGTGCGGGGCCCCAACTGGCCATCGGCAGCCCTGCCCCTCTGCCTGCTCTCTGCTGCGTGGACTATTTTCCAGTGAGTCCCTCAGTTTCCCCCAGTCTGTTTCCCTTCCTAACTCCATTTCACCTGGTCCATCCAAAATCGTAGCTATGTCCAGGTGGGGCATCCAGCCCCTGGGCATTCGACCCATCCACTGTGGGCATCCAGCCCGCCCCTGGCCCTGTGGTGTGGGAGATGTCCCTCACCCAGGCTCCCAGACTGTCTCCCCTGACTTGGCGTGCTTGGGACACTGGGCGCTCCTCTCAGCGGGATTAGTTGGGGAGTGGCGCAGACATGGGGAACCAGCCCTCAAAAGCAGAGGCTCAGACCCTGCTGCAGTGTCTCATTTCTAATTTGGCTACTCTATGTTTGTCCTGGGAAGTTCGCAAACGGAAGCTAGTCTTTCTTTGCTCTCAGGGCTGGCCTCAGTATCCCTTGAACAATCAATCTCGCTGGCCCCCTGAGGGAACTTTCGATTTTGGCCTCCTCACCAACTTGACTAATTATTGCCACCGGAGTGGAAAGTGGGGTGAAATCCCATATGTGCATGCTTTTTGGACTTTTCACACCCACCCAGATCTGTGTGTTAAGTGTACTCCTTCCCAAGTTTTGTTGGCCCAGGCCTCTGCCAAGGACCGCCGACCTCTACCACTCCTATTACTGGGAGGCTCTTCTCTGACAGACTCGGCGGAGGATCTCGGCTACCCCCTTCCTGCTCCTCCAGGCCCACCGCAGGGGCCAGCTCCCTTCCTCGATGTTCATGTCCTCAACCCCCTGCCCATCCCTCCTCCATCTTGTTCCCCTTCTCTTCCGGTCTCTCCACCATCTTGTTCCCCTTCTCTTCTGGTCTCTCCACCACCTTGTTCCCCTTCTCTTCTGGTCTCTCCACCACCTTGTTCCCCTTCTCTTCCAATCTCTCCACCATCTTGTTCCCCTTCTCTTCTGGTCACACTGCCACCTTGCTCCACAGGTACAGACTCCACCTCAGAAAAAAATGGATAAAACTCCCCCATATCCTAGTCCCCAGCCTTCAAGTTCCACATCGATTCCCAAGCTGTATCCCCGACTGCCAGTGTCACCTCCTCCATCCCCTCCTTCAAACCCACTGCTGTCCTACTCACTGCAGCTGATGCCCAAGTGGTCTAGCCCTCCCATAACCCGCTCTAAGTCACAGTGGTCTCAAGCTCATGTGATGGCTCCTCTGAGGGAGGTGGTGGGAGCTGAAGGGGTAGTGTAGGTTCGTGTTCCCTTTTCCCTAGCAGACTTGTCCCAAGTGGAACAGCAATTGGGGTCCTCTTCCTCCAACCCTGTAATGTTCACTAAACAGTTTAAATATCTCACTCGAGCTTACAAGCTCACCTGGCACGATGTACATGTAGTCCTCCATTCCACTCTAACCCCGGAAGAATATGACCATGTCATGGCAGTGGCACAGCACTGTGCCACTGAGACCCAGCCACAGATGAATGGGAACCTATAGGCAGAGAAGCTATTCCTCTACAAGAACCCCTGTGGGATAACAATTCTCCTGAGGGTGAAGCATGCTGGGATCGCATGGTTCACTACTTGTTAGTGGGTATGAACTCAACCGCCCAAAAGGCCATCAATTATGATAAGTTTAGAGAAATTACCCAGAAGCCTGATGAAAACCCGTCAGAATTCCTCAAGCGCCTAAAAGAAACCCTAGGAGCTTTTACTAAAATTGACCCGGCCTCAGAGTTAGGTTCCTCTCTCCTGGCCATGCATTTTATAACTCAGTCAGCTCCTGACATCAGGTGCAAGCTTAAAAAGGCTGAGGATGGTCCCCAAACCCTTTTAGGAGACCTAGTAGATATGGCATTCAAAGTTTTTCATGCCCAAGAGGATGAGAGTGAGAGGAGGTCAGCTGCCAAATGGCAGAACGGATTCGCGCCATAACAGCTGCTCTGCAGCCAGCTCGTGGAGATTGTTGGGGTGTCCCTGAAGATCAACTCAAACCTCTGGGCCCTTGCTTTCAGTGCGGTGAAGAAGGGCACTGGGCATGGAAGTGCCCCAACCCATGCAGACCGATCAAACTGCCCCAGCTGCAGTAAGCAAGGTCACTGGAAAGTAGACTGTCCACTAGGGGGTAGTCCTCCTTCGGCGGCAGAGCCCCACGGGGGGTGGACACCCTTGAAAGACTACCCTTCAGACCTGCTGGGCATCCTCTAAGATTGAAGATGCCTGGACTCAGACACCCCGATCACCCTCGCCAAGCCCAGGGCCAAGTTGTGGGTAGTGGGTAAGCCCATCTCCTTCTTGGTGGACACGGGGGCTACCTACTCTGTTCTCACCTCCTTTAAAGGGCCTTTATACCCTGCCAACATCTCCATAGTTGGGGTCATGGGAACCCTCTCCAAGACTTTAGAGATGGGCCCAGTGG